ATATGTAATTTTGATAAAACATCTAGGATTTTCAGCAAATTCATTATTCTAGGTGTAGTAACATTAAACCTCAAAATTTGCCTTCTTTCTTTCTCCTAAATACTTCTAACAAAAATCTTCTTTTACTCAAAACCTTAACTCAGATTTGCTACGCGCGGTAATTCTCTCGTTCCTCGTGATTCTTCATATCTTCGCACTCTAGGATCTCGTGTTATCTCCTTCTATGACATTAAAACAATCAACGATCACTATAAATGTAGAGGTAAGTCAAAAACTCTAAGCTTCTCCTATTTTTCAAACGCATGGAATAATTATCATATTTTTGATTATTAGCTCGATGCGCCTCTCAATCTGCAATATGCTTCAACGGTGGAGAGCCTAATCCGAGAAATTGTGCGGTTTGCAATTGTCCATCTGGATATGGTGGAGCTCTCTGCAATCAGAGGGTCAGCTTTAACGCGAGCAGAAATTTCTAATCTTTGTTGAAAACGCAAGAAAAGGTCATAAAACATATGAAAAACGTTTTTCTGTTGAAAGACGAGTTTTGTTTTAAAGTTTGTACAAAATAATATATAAAAATGATTTAGAGATATCAAACTAGACTAAGGGCAATAACATAAATGGGTAGTAAATGAAGAAATAATTTGTAAATTTTCTTATAATTTTTCTATCATATTTGTCATAATATGATAGAAAAATCATATCTTTACTGTGGTAACCCTCTCTTCATTCCTAGACGATATTCTTGTGACTACATTCATTATGTCAAATTTTTTTATCTGCATTATTAACGAAAAGAGATTTTTCCAGCCTCCTGGCTGCGGTGAAATACTTACAGCAACAGATCGATGGCAAGAAAAACGATTTACTTTTGGTGATGCTACAGCCCGTACCGTTCGTGACAATTTCTTGGAATGCAATCACTGGATACAAGTAAGTTATTAAGCGATGACTAGGGGAGCATAGGAAATTGCTGGAAATGGGTCTCGACTTCTTTAGGCTCCAGCTGGTAGACGTATCCAAATTCGAATTATCTCGCTACAAAATTCTCAATGTCACAAT